CTGACTGACTGACTGAAGACTGTCTCAATGACCGACTAAATTCAATAACATTTATTTCTGTAATTTTTTTTCCCTCGACGAAATGACTCAAATCATAGACTCATCCCGAACTTGTTTGTCTAACATTTTCCACTATCTTGGACAACTATCTAAATCCTTTGGTTGGCTTTTTCAGTCATTCCCATCGTCTCAAACTACTTTAGAAGAGCTCTGTAAATGGACTTTACCTTTTCCAATGGTGAGGTCCAAGGGGTAGTCGACTACCTTCGTCAGCTTTTGGCTGCAAGACTTGGAGTAAATAAATCTCTTCAAGTGTAAGAAGAGGACTTTAGGGTGCCCTTCGAGGGTCACACGTCGGGAAATGTCGACCTTGAAGAAACATCGAATGACATGTTAGCTTGATTAGTCTTCAACAGAGACTCAGATTTTTATTTGTTGTACCACAATCATGTCAGAAAAACTGCAACGTTATTTAAACGACGTCCAAGTTCAAAAGTTACCAATCTTTTATGCAATCACAGGAATTCCTTTTGACTCTTACCTGCACTTTAGTTTTAGTACAAGTGTAACCTTGTACTTCTTCTTTCAAAGCCAGATTCTTCAGAGCATCTTCAACGGACGTAACAGTCTATCGAAAATACCAAATAATTTGAATATATCAACAAAGTTGAAATGGTAAATTGGCCACCGTTACGATTATAAAAGCTGACGTTTCGAGCGTTAGCCCTTCGTCGGAGCGAATGGAGGAATTGTGGGTTGTGTGTGCTATCAAAAAAACGGATCATCGAAAAAATCAGAAGTCTCAAACACAAACACAAATCGAAACCAAAAAACCAAACTTGTCACAACAGCAAACTAAAACAAAGGCAATATTTTCAAGAATGGCGCCAACGAGAACTCAAAGTAGCCAAAAATAGGCCGCGTAATCGTTTTCAAGAGCGGCAAAACGCATGCGACCCGGTAGTGATTTCTTTTCATTTTACATCTGATCGGTTGAAAAATTAGCGGAAAATTTCCTCACCAATTAAGGAAAGTTCTGTTGCAAAACAGATGCAACATCGGTTGGCTTTGGAAATTCAATTGAAAAAAATTGAAAAGGTTACATTGAAAAGTTTTGTCGTTCAGAAATCGAGTATAGAGGAGAAAATGCTTCTCAATCTGAGGAGAAAATGCTCCTCAATCTGAAAAGTCTGTGCGAGATAATCTGATAAGGACTGCTCTTTTCCACTTTCTAACAAAAGCTGTAAATAGCAAACCTGCACATCCAACTGAAGTTCAAAGAAAGGTTCCACATTAGCAGAGTCCTTCAATCCAGCTTGGTGAACTGATGAACGCAAAAAACCGCCAAAGATCTCTGATATCAGCGACTGCGAGTACAATGCCTGAAATTTACATAGTAAGTTTCAACGTTATTTAAACGACGTCCAAGTTCAAAAGTTACCAATCTTTTATACAATCACAGGAATTCCTTTTGACTCTTACCTGCACTTTAGTTTTAGTACAAGTGTAACCTTGTACTTCTTCTTTCAAAGCCAGATTCTTCAAAGCATCTTCAACGGACGTAACAGTCTATCAAAAATACGAAATAATTTGAATATATCAACAAAGTTGAAATGGTAAATTGGCCACCGTTGCGATTATAAAAGCTGACGTTTCGAGCGTTAGCCCTTCGTCGGAGCGAATAGAGGAATTGTGGGTTGTGTGTCCTATCAAAAATACGGATCATCGAAAAAATCAGAAGTCTCAAATACAAACACAAATCGAAACCACAAAACCAAACTCGTCACAGCAGCCAACTAAAACAAAGGCAAGATTTTCAAGAATGGCGCCAACGAGAACTCAAAGTAGCCAGAAATAGGCCGCGTAATCGTCTTCAAGACCGGCAAAACGCATGCGACCCGGTAGTGATTTCTTTTCATTTTACATTCGATTGGTTGAAAAATTAGCGGAAATTTTCCTCACCAATCAAGGAAAGTTCTGTTGCAAAACAGATGCAACATCAGTTGGCTTTGGAAATTTAATTGAAAAAAATTGATAAGGTTAGATTGAAAAGTTTTGTCATTCAGAAATCGAGTATAGAGAAGAAAATGCTTCTCAATCTGAGGAGAAAATGCTCCTCAATCTGAAAAGTCTGTGCGAGTTAATCTGATAAGGACTGCTCTTTTCCACTTTCTAACAAAAGCTGTAAATAGCAAACCTGCACATCCAACTGAAGTTCAAAGAAAGGTTCCACATTAGCAGAATCCTTCAATCCAGCTTGGTGAACTGATGAACGCAAAAAACCGCCAAAGATCTCTGATATCAGCGACTGCAGGTACCATGCCTGAAATTTACATAGTAAGTAGAGATACAATACTATAGAGGAATACTGCCAGGGGGAAACTACAAGATATAACTATCAACTATGATGGGCTAGGGAGGTAAAAAGAGGTAAAAAGAGGGAAGGGGGGCCCCTGTTCGGTTTTTCAAGACGGTAGGTGAGCCGCAGTGGCATATTTTGAGAAGTTGACTACTTGCCTAGTTTTGTTTGTCAGGTTTGATATTTCAATTTCTTTTGGAAGGATCGGTAAGTTACAGGAGGACTAGTAGAGCTACAAA